TAATTACAGAATATTATACCTAAATGGTATTAGTTTCATTCCAATATATGTAAACAAGTGGGTAGGGATATAATATAAAAAAGCTTTATTTAGTACTGACACATAGTTAAAAAAAAGGACATGTAATAAAATATGTATAAATTATGAAGCAAAACATTACATTGGAATATATTACCTAATAAATTCCAAAATATTCAAGACATGAAAGCTATGGGTGATACAGTTTGAGATATATTAAAAATATAAAAAATTAGAAAAGACTAGCAAGTATCACCTTTTATTTTTTCTTATTGTTTTGTATAACTCTTAATTTTGAAACTTGTATATAGAGTATTTTTTAATTATTATAAACTTTTGTAGTGTAATTACTGCTCTACATCAGATTTTTTAGTTACTGTTTTTGCAGTTGTGGTTTTTGTTTTTCTCTTAGGTGGAATTGGTGCATCAGAAGTACTAGATGATGGGTTTTCAGGAATAGCTGTAGCAGTACCAGGAGTTTGTGGAGGTTTTGTACCTTTTTTAACAACTTTTACAGTCTTTTTTTGTTTAGTAGCAGAACTACTGTCTTCTGCACCATCATCCAGTCCTTCTTCTGACTTTGTTTTTGGTTTCTTTGTGACCTTTTTTACTACCTTTTTTGTTACTTTTTTCCCTGTACTATCACCATCAGTTGTTTCTGTAGGTTCTCCTTCTGATCCCAACTTCTCTGTAGATTTTTTTACACTCTTCTTTGTTGCTTTCTCTTGGCTTTTTGTATCCTGTTGTGCAGTTTTTGGAACATTTGCTGAGGGTGTACTTAATTCTTTTGTTCTTGAAGGCCTAACTGGTGTTTGGCCTGATGATGATGTTTTAGTTTCTTCATATTGTACTGAAGTTCCAATTGGTTGCACTGTATCTTTCATGCAACTTTCACTTTCTTTACTTTGCTGTACAGATTCTGTTATTTGTTTTTCTGCCCATTCTCCTGATGTTCTTAAATATTGTGAAATACTCAAAGGTAATATGGGTGATTCTGCAAGCTGAGGTTGAGTTTGTTCTACAGGCAATAAAATTTGTGAAAGATCCCCTGTTTTTGTAGATGATTCACTTAATTTATTGGCAGTGTCAATACTTTTTACAGATGAAGTATTGTTTAAACTTAATATTTCTTTATTTTGCATAGAAGGTGTTGAACTGTTTATGTGCACTTTATCTTCTGCTTCTGTTAAATGAACGGGTGTTATCGTGGAAGAAAGAACTTCTTGCGACATTACTTGAGAATCTGACATAGACTCTTTTGGTTCCACTTGAAGCACAGATTCTGCAACTTGTATCGGGACGGGACTAACTGTTAGAATTTCAGAAGCAGTTGACAATTCTTTCGCGTGTTTTTCGTCTCTAATGTCCAGTTGCTTTGTTTCTTGGCTATCAATTGTAATTTCAAGATCTTCTATATTCCTTATATTGCTCTCAAATTCCTTTGTTGAACTAATTACTTTTTGTTCTCCAATTGAACAAGATTGAACTATGTCAGATGATACTATAGGCACTGCTGTTTGTTGAGGGGGGACTTCTTTTACTAGTGAACTTGAATAAAGTTCTGCAACTTCTTTATTAGATGTTTGTATTGAAAAGTTTGTAGGAGAAGAATCCACAAATATATCAAGCAATTCACTTTCTGATTTTGTTGAAAACTTTTGGAGAATATCATCTTCACCCCTTTTTGTAGAAGATGTAGCATTAATAACTTGTTCATTCTTCTCTGATAATTTAGGTACGTTTGTTATAGGAACGTTGTTAACTAGAGATTGTTCTTCCGTATGACTGGTTGTTGCCTGAGCTAAATAAGGAAAAATAATCATGTTATCTAAAAGTACATACAAAGATTTATAGAAATGTAAAGTAAAGCATTTCTTGGTATATAACTCAGATATCTAAATTTTACTATCTTAAAATAATATGTAACAAAAATGTGTTACTATCTTTTATGGCATAGAATGTATGACTAAATGTGTGTAATTAATTACTAAATGTAAAAATGACATACAACATTAAAAATATATACAAATAATATTCTATCTACCTCAAGTTGTTTTTGAATACATACATAAAATATACCTGAAAAAAAGTTTTAATACTGATACAAAGGGTGTAATGATTGTGACTGAAACTGTTATTACAAAAGTGCTCCTATTAAAAGATTATTTAGTTTAACATAATGCAAATATTTCAGCTTAATTTAAAGCACATAAAACATAGAATTAACATATTTCTAGTATATTATACAAGCATTAGAAACATTATGTTAGGAACAATGGTGTGAAAATATCATGCATGGTGATTGTCATTTAGTTGATTAATGCAATATTATGGTTATTTCTAGCATTAAAAGCGTGTTTTCATTTTTTAATACATATAAGCAAGCCACATAAATGTAATTACTTAAAGCGATGTTTAATAAATTATTTAAAGAACTGTTGTTACTTTTATATGAATTACTTTAAAGAATTTAAACTAAACTATGATGGAATAATTTCAAAGCAGAATTAATATTAATTTGTACTACACAATGTATACTATAACTAAGCATCTAAATATTTTTTAGATCAAATATGTTCGTATCAGTTGTTAACATATAAACATTAGAGAAGTATAAATTATATGTAATATTAGAATATCGTCAATAATATGATTTATTGTGAAATGACACAATTTTAATAATGCTAGTTTCAACATATACCGTGTGCTGGTTTAGTTATGTTCAACAAACTTTTTTAATTTATTTAAAAATCGCGATTCGATGGTGATGCGAGTTCTCAAAATATTTACCCCATTAAAGCAAAACGACATTACAAGATGTAGCAATGCTATGGCGCCAGGATCTGTTAGTTGCTGTCCTCCGTTCCTGTTTCAAACACTTAAACTTGATAAACTGTATAAAAAACAATATATTTTTTCACTTGTTTAAATTATATCAAAATTTTCCAGTATATTATTAAGTACAATTTTAAACTTCTTTTAATTTAATTACTGTAATAACATTTTTATTTTCAAATATGAGTTTGAATGCCACATGCTGTATTAAAAAAAAAGGGGGAAAAATAAAATCGCAAAGCATGTTTATAAAAACAGTTAATGGCTTTGCAAATATGAGCACTTTAATTCTCAACTTTATGCACAGTTTCCATTATCGTTCAAAATTCTTATTTAAAGGAACCGAATTTTGAATTCTTGTTCTGATATGCAGTCATAATTGCCATAGAGTAAAAAAAATATTTTTGG